AGAGAGGGGCCCCGGGAAGACAGTGGGAGGTCGCGGAGCGGGAAACCGGGTCTGGCGGGGCAAGAAGGAGGGCGCGAGCAGAAGAAAAGAAACAATGAAGACAAGAAACGATATGCACACTATGGCTGGAATAGCCCTCCAGTGTCTTCCTAGACCTGAGCTCGTTGATTACTAAATTAGTCCTGGAAGGTAGCAAGTCTCTCCTTCCCCCCCTTTTTTTTCCTCCTGAAAAAGCACCCAGAGAGGTGGCGAAGACTAGACCCAGCAGGTCTTAAAGGCTTTGAATCTCTGGTTTTCAGCACTGAGGAGGGAAGTGTCTGCAAATACTTCTCCGAGGGGGTGATTTGAAGCAGTTCATCATTCAACCTATGGAAGACCCAGCTTCTTCCATCTCAAGCTGCTATCTAAATCTTTTGTCATTGCTAGTTTCTTATTTAGTTATGCCTAGTCTTCCTGACTAGATTAACTGTCCTAGTAGCAGAAACTGGGAGATTTGTACCTCCCAGGCCTTAGACATACTGTGGTTCATGTAGTTCATTCATTCAGTTCCCAAATGTTTAGGGACAATCTGCTCTGAGCCAAGCTCATACCTAGGCTACTGGCGGAGGGAGTTGGGGGAGGTGGAAGGGGTGGCAGCGGGCAAGAGATGAGACTAGAAGGCCTGTAGTGGCTGGATCTTGCAGAGGCTTGTAGACCAGAGTAAGGAAGGGAGCCACTCACATTTTAAGCAGAAATGTGACCCAGACAAATTTGCTTTTTGTTGTAAGAAGCTTACTCTGGCTGCAGGTAGTGCAATGGGGAGAAGATGGGAAACAGATGAGGGACTTGTGGCCATCCAGGCAAGAGACTGATGATGGAACCTCAGCACTGGGGGAAATGAGAGGATGGATCGAAGAGGCATTCGAGAGACAGAATCAGCTGGATATAGGGATGAGTCAGGTCCAGACATGTAACTGAGAATTCAGATTTCTGATTTCTTCCTGCTTCCCAGCCATAAAATGGATAGCAACCTGTATTTCTCTCCAGTTTGTCCTATAATTTAGAAAACATAGATAGAATAAAAAAAATAGCAGCTCCCAGTGCTATTATGTATCCCCTTTTATAGGCAAGGCCTGGAGAATTGACATCACTTGACTAGGGTCTTGACTCGAACACAGGCTCTAGAGTGTTAAGCTGTGCTACTCACACCGTGATGTGTGTTCTCACCGATTCTGTCAGGGCTTGCTCCACAGGGAAGAACCTGTGGCTACCTGAACCCGGGAAGGGATTCAGAGGAGGGAGCCAACTAAGGATGTCCCAAGGCCTGGCTGGCTCCTCAGCTGTGACCATAAGTAACCCTGGGCCACTCCAACAGGAAGCAGGGTGGGGACATGGTTGCCAGACTTAGCTGTGGTTGGGTATTCATCTCTCTGCAGCCTCAGGGCTGGGAACCCAGGAAATTTCCCTTCCTTCATTTCCCAGATGGTGCCTGGCGAAGGGGGAAAGTTTGATGCCGGGAAAGGATGCTCCATTTAGGGTGAGACAAGCCTGGGTTAGAATCCTAGCTCTGTTGCACATGGGCAGTGTGGCCTGGGTTCAGCGCCCTGAGGCTTGGGGGCTCCAAATAGAGTTCAGTATTGTATGGCTAGGACCACTTGCCCTAGAGCCAAAAGGGTTCAAAATCTGGCTGACACAACATTGACCACCTGTGTCACACTAACTTTGGGTGTAGTTTGCAGGCATAGAAAGGAATCTTGAAGGATATACCCTAAACTTTTCCATCTCTGAGCCACAGTTTCTTCACCTGTAAAATGAGAGTGAATATACAAACCTTTTTAGAATGTTGTGAGGGCTTCAAGAGGCTGTGCTTGCAAGTGGCTTAGGCCTGGGAAGATGTGGGGATCTGAGCAAGTGGTTAGCATGGAGCTCCAGCCAGCACTTCCACACTTCTGCAGCCCCCCAAAATTCCCAACATACCCTGCCCTACCTCCCTGAGGACCTGACCAGATGTACAAGGAAACCAATACCTCACGGGATAGTTCAAATAAGTGGTCTAGAGAAGGAACCCCAGGGAAATGTGAGAGAGGATGATTGCGTTGGGTGGGGGTCCTGATTTAGATGGGATGATCAAGGAAGGTCTCGGTGAGGTGTTATCTCAGCCCAGACCTATATTATAGAGGGGACCCAAGCCCAGGAAGCATCGGGGGCAGAGGCAGGAGCTGGCATTTGGGGGACTCGATGTGACTGGAGGAGACTGAGTAGAGATTGGAGAGAGAAGCATAGGGTCTGGCACGTGGGCCCAGTGGGCCTAGGAGTTTAGATTTTATTCTAAGCCCAAAGGGACACCATTGGAGAATATAAGCAGGTTAGTGACAAGATATAAAATACCTTTTTAGAGGTTTTTTCTTTCTGGCTGCTATGTGGAGAATGGATTGACTGTCAGGGGCAAGAACAGAAGCAGCAGCCAGGTGAAGAGGCTGTTATAGTCATCTCAGGGGAGACTGGTGGCTCAGATCGGGGTGGAGCCAGAACGATGGGAAGAGGAAGGAGACGCATTTCAGAGGAAGAGCTCAAAATTTGCTAAGCAACGATAACAGTTACTCAATTAGAACTTCCTAGGGTTTTGCATTTGACTAAATGCCACCAGGTTCATGAAGGGAGGAGGTCAGTAAGCGTAAACACTGCGGTAGGTGTGGGGAAGGAGCAGAGAGGAGCAGAGGAACTGAGTGGGACTGCAGCCTCTAAAATAGAATCACAGCTGGAGAAAGCGAGATGGCCTTAGAGAATCCTTACCCTCCCCTGGACCCAGACAAACTCTTACGGTGCTATTTACGTATCTCTCTCTCCCATGAGAGCCTGAGCTTCACAGGGTCAAACACCTCACCCATGGTGTCCCCATGCCCAGATCAGGGCTGCCACATGATAGATACTCCATAAATGGTTGTCAAATGAATACATGGGTGGATAGGTAAATCGATGGATGAGTGGATGACTGTAACATTTAACCCTGTCACCCCCTGCTTTAACATTCCTCAGTGTTGCCAATAACTGTCAAAATTCTTCTATAAATACCTATTTAAAAAAAAAAAATGCAAGAAAAGAAGGAAAACAAAGAAAAGGGGGGAAATCCCCCCCCAAAAACCCAATGTGCACAATTCCTTTAAAGTAAGTTACCCAATAGCATTACTCACATGTGTATGAAAAGATGTACATGCAAGATGATCCTTGTAGCCTTGTATGTAATATGAAAATATTGGGAGCAGCCGGATGTCTGGCTGCAGGAAGAGGGGGGCCTTGAAAGTGAGGACTGTGTTTTGTTCCCTGCCTTAGCACCTGGGACAGTGCCTGGTACACAATCCGGTTCAATAAATATTTGTGGAATGAAGGGAACCATCAACGAGATGCCATGCTGCTCTTGAGGAGCATGCTGGAGATGGTGTGTGTCCTGAGGTACGAGATGTCCACACTGCGCCAATGCAAGTCAACAGTGTGTAAAGAAGGAGCTTATTTTATGAAGAAGAAAGTGAATACTTTATAGAGGCATGGAAAAGAATCCTAAAGGGTATACCCTAAACTGTCACTAGAGGCTTCCCCCTGAGGAGAGGATTTGGAGGGAAATTTTTACTCTCTTTTAATGACTATTCTTGGGTATAGTTTGATTTTTGTAGTATGGTGAATTCTTTTTATAATGTCATAATATATCATTCTAAGGATAGTATAAACAAAAGCCATTCTGTGCTTCTCTGTTACCCTTTGTCCAAAGTTCTTAGTCTGACATGTAGGTCCCTCTGGAAACAGCCGTTTAGCCTCTTCACCACTCTCTCCCTCAGACCCCTGCCACCCTGCCCAGGGGTCCTGCTACCTGGTAACTCGTAGTAAGCGTCAAGCTTCAGCTCAAGCATCCTCAAGCATTCCCCCCACATCAGGCATGATGCTCACTCCCTGCTCTGCGCCCCCAAGCTACCAGCCATCCATGTGCAGAGAAAATGAGGGCACTTGGCCTTCTGTGTCAATACCCGGTGCATATTTGGCACTCATTGAAAGAGAGGGAGGAAGGACGGGAGGAGAGAAGGAGGAAAAAAGGAAAGAGAGGAAAAGGGAAAGAAAGGCGAAACGAAGGGAAGGCTGGAAGATGTCACTTGCCCAGATCATCCTGAGGGCAGCTACCCAGCTGGCCAGCTCTTTCGGTCACCTGACACCCAGCACAGAGTGCCACGCCAAGCTGCTTTCCCAGCCCTGCTTGCCAAGGGTGGTTCGTGCTGATTCACCAGTGACTAGGCTTCAATTAT